AGATTGATGCTTATGTTTTTCTCTTTTATCAGTTTGTCCATGTTGCTTAATCGTTTCACTTTCTTGGCAATTTCACAACACGAACCATGAAGGACCATTTTTGTTACACGGGGTTTTGGTTTATGTCCCCCAATTGCATCATTTTTGTTATATTTAAGGGACATTTTTTGTTTGATTGACTAGGTTCCAAAGCCCTTCAAATAGTTTATTTTGGTTTTTATTTACACATATAAGGGGCATTTTTTTGACTTTCCGCCGTGGGCATCCAAAATCTCAGGGCCGGCCCTGACCATCGATACGGGGACGGGGACGGGTTGAAGTGGGCTGCACATGGGTTGGCCAATCCAACGCTTACGGCTCAAAAAAATCTCAACCCAACCTAACAAAGCGAAACTGCAACCCGACCCCACCCAAACCGGGTTGGGTTGGTCGAGTTGAAAGTTCGGTAAATCATTTACCATCTAGCTAAGCATTTTGTTTAAACGAAGTAAAAGGGTTGATAACATAAAAAAAAGTGTGACAAACTCAGAAAAAGGTTGAAAGTTCCTGCAATAAAAAAGTAAAATTTCGGTTGAAATTGTTAGATATAATTTTGAATATAATAATTACGGATTGGTCTAATGTACATAAATTAATAAAAATCTTAATAATCATATTAAATCCTTAGTATAAACAGGTATCAACTTCATCATGTTGGGTTGTGTTCAAATTATCCTAGCTCAATTCCAACCAGTAGATATTGTTTGGCCAAATTTTGTATCAACTAAGTGTCGGCCGTCGGGTTACCTCGGCCAACGGGTTGAGAATTTTTGGGTTTTTTCGGGTTGGGTTGGTCATTTTTTGAGCACCCCTAGGTTGAACCAGGTGTGGCAGGTTATCTCTTTTAAGGTTTTTTTTGGATTTGGGATGGCCTGGTTGGTCGGTATTTTGAGCACCCCTGCATATATTATTAGGGAACCTGTGACCTTCTCCCACCCCAATTCTTCTTGACAAACATTCAAACCCAATGCCATTTTTGTTAAACTGTTGCGTCAAGATGTGGTAAGTTTTTATTTATATCATTGCATTAACAAAATCATCATTTTATAACGATTGTTTATGAACTCAGATCTGAATTCGTATTCAAGCTACCTCCAAATGAAGCTTCAGCCTTCAAGCTTCAATTTTTTCTTTTATCTCTCTGATTTTGCTACTAAAATTTTTATTATGTTGTACCTATGATAAATATAAGTCGTTTATGGTTTCGATTGCGGTCTCTATAAGCTGTAACAGGGGTTTCCACCCGCTGTTATTAACTAATGTCGCCATATACGGTGGTTACATGTCAAAGTTACCATCAATTTATCAATAGCGCATCCTCCAATCACACCAAAAACTAGCAAATCAATTTTAAACATTTATATGATGTTATTGGAAGCTTAAAAATAGGGTTATTACCTTGAACGAAGATTTACAGTCGAAGAACTCTAGGAAATTAGATCTTACAGCAACAAGAAATCAGATTTTTTTGTATAAGCTTTAGAGTTTTGGGATGAGATTAAGCACGATTTGTTTGCTATATTTATAGCCTTTTGAATGCAACAGAAGATCGTTAAGGATTGGAAGCACAAAGGAGTATCATTGTATGGGATTTCATTCCCTTACTAGTGGTTGCTGCATAACTGATATTATTTCGACCCCAAACAATGAATACTTCATTTTTTGTTTCTTTATTCAATATACACGAATACATATATGTTTACTGTTTTTTATATATGGGTTATTACAGCTCTTGAAGGGTTTTGTGGAAGAGAAAGGAAAGTGAAGAGCATAATCGAGTCAAATGGGCAGACCACCCAGTAATGGGGGCCCATCTTTCCGCTTTAATCAGGCCGAGGTCACTACTCTCTCCATTTTCTCGTTCATACTCAAATACCAGTGGTTAATTTATTTATCATATTTCGCCGAATTGGATTACTTGATCTTTTGTTAATCTTTTCGAAATCCCTAAAAATAATTTTTTGAAATGGTGAAATATCATTGGTTTTGAATGTTTTCTTTTCGCTAAAAGTCGTTCTTTAGCTGTTTTGTCTGATATATCTTGATTAACTAACATTAATAGTTGTCCGATTATCTTGATTAGGTAACAGTAATGGTGGGATTTTTGAAATTTGAATTGTTATTACTGCACTATCTAATTCGTCCTAAAGATGGAAAACATAATGTTTGTCTGATCATATGTTTTCATTATAATAACATGAATCAACACGTTTAAAAGATTATTTCTTTGGCCATCCTTACGTTCAAGAAGATAGTATATTTCGTCTTTAATGCCAAAAGGGCATCAAAACTTATGTGAATTCTTGGATTTTTGGTTAAAACTTGATTGAAACTTGGCGGTTGTTGATTTGTAACAAAATGCAAAACAAATATGCAAAATCAAGAAGAGTGCACCTCTTTTCTTTTTACAAAAAAGGGGAGGTTGTTCAATTATGATGGATGTTTTTCTTTGTCACTTTAAGGGTCAATGCATGTACACTTCACAAGGAGCCCTTCTAGTGTATCTTTGCTTGGAGTTGGTGCACATGGTTGTTCATCTCATACATCATCACTAAAGGGTTATAGATTGGTGATTGGAACATGGATTTGTTACATTGCATCTTAGGACTATATGTGAAGCACCAACGATGTGGGAAAGATTGAGAGAGAGAGAGCTAGCTGCTCATCAATGTTTCATATCATGTCACACATCTTCATTAACTCAACTGAATATGTGTCTTCACCCAAACTCTAGAATGCCATACATTCTATTAAACTTCAGGGATGCAACATACACAGTTTTCTAAGTGGAATTGGTCAAGAAAATCAGCTGTTGAAGAATTTCTGATGGCCTGATGTAGTTTTTGTCCTTGCTCTCTCTATAAGCATGAAGCAAACCTTAGTTATTGCCTTGTCTACAAAAATGGATTGCTAGTAGTTGTGGATTATAACTTATCACTTGTATACACACAACTCATGATGTTATGGAGCTTTTCACATAACGAAAGAGTTATTGTGCACTTTTTTTCCTAAATATTTTTAGCCAGGATATTTGCTGCATATATTTAATCTGTCATAAATAATTTGCGTGGTATAAAAAATAAAGGGATTGTACTATTTTTGGTGATAAAAGAACTCATAAGTATACAATATTGGGAACATTATATAAAGGTTCATTGTTATTTTTTCTTGCATATATAAGGAATCATTGTACTTGTTATAGATAATTTTTATAACAAGAGGTTGTAAAAGAAATATTGATTATGCTTTCTAGGTAAAAGAGAAGATAGAATCTATTGCTCAACAGAATATGAAAATTTATGGAAACAATTTCACTACATGTTTCCCACACTCCCAACTATAGCATCCTGAGGGCATCACAAAGAAGTGTATGAATTGGTCACAAGAGGTTGTTTTTAGGACTCTCGATGTTACTTTGTAAAAATGGAGGCATGGTTGCCGAGAAATATCATACTATATTATAAAGCATTTGACAAAAACTCTTAAAGACCATTTTCTATGCATTAAGTACTGTTTATTGATGCATATTACTTAAAATTCAAGATTACAAGTAAATTATGTGCAAGTACAACTTATTAAAGTTCCATGTTTGAATTCGTGTAAGTAACTGCAGATAAACATAATCAAATACATGATTAACATCTCATTTTAAATATAAAAAATTTAAAATGTATTTAGGATAAGAGTACTTGACTATTATTTTTATAAAAATTATATTATTCATCCAAAAAAAATTACTTCATTATTAAACCTAACTTAATAATAAAAATTTGAATTAAAGAAATTACATAAAAACAAGAACTTTTAACAGTTAATTTGATACTAATATCGGTATATTTTTTTCAACTTTTTATGATATTCTCAAGTTTTACATTTTATTCAAAAATAAAAATTATCGCTTTCTCAAAACCACATAAAACCATATTATAACATCGATAAAGACAAAATAAAACAAAACATTAAAATCGAGATGTATCTTGCTGCATTGAGCGAGTACTCTTCTAGTGTACTATAATGAAAGCCTTCGCTCCTTTTTTCACCTATGAAATGGAACATTTGGCTTTAAAAATGTGTAGGTGTTATGTGGAACACTTTATCTTAAACATGAGTATTAATTTTGTGATGATATTTCCGTGGCAATTTTCACGTGAGCCTAAACATACTTTGGTCTTTGTTGTAATAAATTTTGCTCTTATATTAGATGTAGCCAAGTAATCGGACTTCGGTTTTCTTTTAACTTCTTCAAAGTTTATCTGCCTGATGGAAACCAAACAAGGTCTTGCGGACAGAGTTGGGAGTTGTGTCCGTCATGGATAAACTGAGAGAGGGCAGATTGCAGTGGGTTGAACACATTTGCATGAGACTTATGGCGGCACCAGTGAAGAGAGTAGAAAGTGCGACAGTGGAGGATGGACATGCTTAGTAGGACGTGGGATGAACAACTAAGGATAGACATGGCAGCCTTAATTTTCGAGGACATTACTTCTGCTAGGAAGTTCTTATAAACGCATGATTAGGGTAGCGGACTAGATGTATGGAGCTGTAGCTAGCATGGACGGGAAAAAGGCAAGGCAGTTGGAAAGGTTGAGGGTGGGACGAGGAGTGTTAGGGAGCTGGCAAATAGGTTAACGTAGGCCTACGATAGATAGAGGGATATGTCCTTTTCCTTGTCTTTTTCTATGTTTCAATGTTACTCCTTTTCTTTTTCTTTTTCTGTTGCCTACTATTTACTATCTTTGTGCGTCTTCACAGAAACAATTGCCCTACTCTTTGAGACAGGTGTGCATACATCCTGCCCCTCCCAATTCTTTTTGAGTGGGATATACTGGGCTTGTTTGTTTCGGTTTTAAAGTTTATTTGTTTGATGATGATGATGTAAAAAGAGCATTGTTATATTGATAACTTCCAACTTTTTAACAAGTTGGTACTAGTAACTATTTTCTCCTTTGAAGATCGCGGAGATGGAAGCCATCTTGCAAGCACACAAAACGGCAATGCCTGTTCGTGAAGTTCTTGTTTCCCTAGCTGAAAAGTTCAGGTATATTATATCATGGAATTTAAGAATAAGCTTAATTTGTTTTGGGTAATGTTTCACTGTGTCATTATTGGATGTTAGATTCTGACATGGGATCTCTGTGTGTAGTAATTCTGAAGAGCGCTCGGGAAAGATTGAAGTTCAAATGAAACAAGTGAGTTGCTTATTTGTGCTGTATCTGTATGATAGTTACACATATATTCCCACTCTGATAGTAAACCATTACTCATAACGTTTTGGTGCATGTATACAACACTCATAGGTGTGGAATTGGTTCCAAAATAGACGATATGCAATCAGGGCTAAAGCAGCCAAATCACCGGGGAAGTTAAATGTAACACAAATGACCCGAGATGATTCAGCTATGGTAAAAGGTGTACCTCAGGCTACTCAACCACATGGCGCTTCTTCAGGTGAGTTAACTTGTACCTAAAGATGGAGTGTACTTTTTGCAGTATTTTTCTGTGCACAACTTATGTGCATTCTTGCTAATGCAGCCACTGTTAGATCTTTGCCACAAGCACCACAGCATCCAACTGGTCCTTCAGGTAGAACTAACCTCACTTTATTTTGAGATTTCAATGCCATTTGTTTGCTAATTTATATTCTGGATCGACTCAGCTGTGGTTAGAAGTTTCCAACAAGCACCACAACATCCAGCTGCCTTTTCAGGTAGAACTATCGTCTATCTTTGAAGTTTTGTCCATTTTCTCTTCTCTGTTTGTTTGTTACATGGACTTTGTGAAGACATGTGAATGGACTGGTTGGCACTATTTAATCCAGCCTGCATTCGAGCTTTTAGTACAGTCTATAAACGTATGGCTTGTTAATTTTGTTCACATGACACAATAGATTGTTTCTTACAACCATGAAGCCATACTATAATTTGATTTGTTGAAAGTTTTATGTTAAACATAAATGATTAAATTAAGATAGAAATAGTAAGATACTGGGGGTCTACATTCTATTTATGTTGTCTTTAGTGGTGAGGAGTAACTTGTCTTTCTTTACAAAGCATTGGCAACATAGAGAAGCCACTGAAATCCACCAGCTGGGATTTCGGGAGTCCTTTAATTTTTATATAGATAAAAATTCAGAGGACCTATCATCAAACATAGGATACACTTAAAGATACACCATCTTTTCTTCTATTGGAGGATGATTGCAAATTTGTGATATCAGTCTATCATCCTATTGAATGATTGTTAGTTCCTTTAGCAGGTTTGTCTAGAATAAAGTGGTGGCCTAACAATACCCTCTTATAAAGGGTAGTGATGATTAGGGTGTTACATTTTTTTTATTAATTACTTTTGTGAATGACATAGAGGAAATTAGAAGTGTAAAGTATGAATCAGATGTAACCCTTCATGTATAGCAAACAGCACCAAATATGCATCATTTGACTTTCACATATGTAAATACACATCTTGGAGTTATCTGAAGTTTGGCTGTCTGGTAGTCCATTTCATTACTATTATACTGTTTTTATCACCAGTTCAAAGTGCAGGAAGGGTTGCAGATAATTCTCAGATGGAGTATGAAGCTAAATCTGCTAGGGATGGAGCATGGTTAGTACCTAGAGATGTTTATTTAACCTTGATTAATTGACCACTTGATACTCGTGACCATTTCTTTGAGTGGTAGAAATAATAGAAACCTTTTTATGTAAACAACATTAATTATTTGCAATCTTCTTTTCAGGTATGATGTTTCAACCTTTCTATCACACAGGTCTCTTGAGACAGGTGATCCGGTAATTATAGAGCCCAATCAATGCTTGACTAGCCCAATTTTCGTTCTCTCTGATCCAATCTTCTTGTAGACAACTTCATTCTGCTATCTGATATCAGGAATATTATAGCATGTTTTTTTTATATAAACCTGTTTATTCATCTTTTCAAAATCAGGAGGTTCTGGTTCGATTTGCTGGTTTTGGAGCTGAAGAAGATGAATGGGTCATTGTACGCAAGAATGTTAGACAAAGGTCTCTGCCATGTGAATCGTCTGAATGTGTAGCTGTTCTCCCTGCAGATCTCATACTTTGTTTTCAGGTCTCTCCTCTTGAGTTTTCAAGATAATTATATTTTGTTTTGTTGAAAATTGAGAACCTCTTTTTAAAAGCGCTTAAACTTGTACAGGAAGGCAAGGAGCAGGCTCTTTACTTTGATGCCCATGTCCTAGATGCACAAAGGAGGCGGCATGATGTAAGAGGTTGTCGTTGTAGGTTTCTGGTGCGGTACGATCACGATCAGTCCGAGGTATGCGACTATGTATAAGTTTCAATTTTTGTAGGTAAATGTTTTTATGCCTTTTTCTTTATTTCCTTTTCTTTTAGTACCGAATAGGGGTGCTAACGAGTAGAGCAGATTCGAGCAAAAGGTTGTTCACTCGAATAAATAATACCAGGCTCGAACTTGAATAACTTTTTCAATGTAGGGGCTTGAGCTCGAATATTTTCTCAATGTTCGAGCTCGATGAAAATGAGATTGGTGTTGATCATCTTCCTTGGCCCCTTCCATTGTACTCTTCCCAGAATCATATTCTCAAGCCTGCTTATGCATCAATTGCTTGCTTTTCTCCCGTTCAACTATGAAAAGACTCACCACTGAGCACAGCCCGTTGGCTGTCTCTCCATTAGGGAAGTCCAAACTTTATACCCAAAAGTCTAGATCACAAATATACAATACATAATTGACTGGTTCATTGGAAACCGGAGTGCAAATGATATGTGGAAAAAACTAAATGCCAAATGGAAAACATAAGAGTGTTGGGGTATCACCCTAAAACAAAGTCAACTAGGGTTCCAAGTTGTTTAATAACCTAAAATTCCTGAAGTACAAGACATATTAAGTTTATACATTTTTTTTCTGCACTTTGTAAACCTTCTTAAACCTCTAGTGTTGCCAAGATATTCACCTAGAGTTTTAATCATGATTAGAATCTACATTCACTATAAATTGAGAATCTACATTCACTATAAATTGAAGTCTCTGCCTCCACTCTTCCATATATGATCAATCAGTCCCATGTCCTCATTGATTTTACTCCCTGCATTCACAAAGTTCTGACATACGTATCAGAGTCTCAATCGGTGGAAACCCTACGAGATAAGTTGTTTTTCCATGTGTTTAATGTATTTAGAACATGCTCCAACAGCCATGCACCCTCCTACACGAGTCCATTTTCAGTCACTATTGACTTGCTATTTAAGGTGCATCACATCTGAATGATCCTGTAATGAATATTCTTTGAGCATTTATGATCTTAGCATGCCAATGAAACAGCTGCACCACTTTGTGAAAATTAAAGATCCACTCAAGGACAAACACTGAGAGCGCAAGTGGATCTTGACTAGGACCCAGAAGTTACATAGAAAATGATTAAGATAGACATACAAATCATAATTGGGACCAAGACAGGGAAGATACAGTTGCCAGACTTAAGGGTCGATAGAAGACGAGACATCTAGACTAGCCCTACTAATTCCTAAGGTACATTTTGCCAACCAAAAGACAGATTTTAATTTATTGGACAGATTTCATTTCAGTTTTCCTGCCAACCAAGCACGTGGTCAAACCTGATTAAATTCCATTCTAATTAATTCAGATTCCAATTCCTTTGACGTATTTCATTTCTACAATAATCATTTTGGGAAACAAATGCCACTTAATCACAACCTCTCAGGATGCAAAGCTGGACCAAAGTAGTGATTTCCAAGACCCCTGCTGCTTGTTGGTGTTGGTGCGAACCTTTGCCACAAAATTCTGGATATATTGTTACATCGCTTGCCTCCATCAATAAAAACCTCCTCTTAATACATTTAATGCTCATATAGGGTTTTAAAACATTTCATATAAGAAAGAGAGAGATTGTGTAATGCTTGCTTTGATAAGATTAGTCCTTCCATTAAATGATATAAAAATATGCTAAGCGTTAATTTACAACTCTCGACCACCCTTTTCAAAGTGTCATATCTTTTTGGTCTGGCATCTACAGGGATCCGAGATGGTCCAAAGGTACCCTGAAGTGGTAAAAGTTACTGTTCCTACTTGAAGAGAATAGAGGCTTTTTTGTGATTTTTGACTTAGACTGACCAATCAAATTCAACTTCATAATGCTACACATAGAGTTATCTTGTTCGACCTATCCATATCAAATTTGAAAACTATAGATTTCTCCTCAAAGGTCAATTTTGAAGTATACTTTTCATTTTAATAATAGCTTTTCTTTTCCATTTCAGGAAATTGTGGCGCTGAGGAAGATTTGCCGCCGACCTGAAACTGATTATAGGCTGCAACAACTTCATGCCGTAAATGAGTCCCTTTCTGCCAACCAGAACAAAAATGGTGCCAATAATATACATACAGTCAGCACTTTGAGAGTCTATCCTCCGGCTGAAGTACAACAAAAGCAACATAAAGTTGAGCCAGTGGTTCCATCTTTGTCAGCCGAAGTACCACAAAAGCGCCAGAAAGTAGAATCAACTTTTCCGGCTCCTCCACCAGATGGATCACAAAAGCACTTCAAAGTAGAACCTGCAATGGTGGCTCTTTCAGGTGTACCACAAAATCAGCAAAGAGTACAACCTGCACCTCCACCTCGACCTCCATCTGAGGCGCCACTATATCCGAATAAAGTTGAACCCGTGCTATGTCTCCCATCAGACCAAGCATTAGTAGAGCCCCATAGAGTCGAACCTGTGGTTCCTTGCCCATCTGCCCAACCATCGTTAGAGCCAAATAAGGTGGAATCAGTGGTTCCTGTTCCATCAGCCCAAGATTCAGCAGAGACGCAAGTGGCCATCATGCCCACCTGCTCAGAAAAAGTCCCACTTGAGTTGCATCAAGTACAGCCAGTGATGCATGGTCCTTCAACTGAATTATCACCTACAGTAGTTGCACCAGTCGAACCCAAGGTAGCTGAATCACTGAAAGAGTCCATGGTGTCTGGCACTTCAGTTGAAGTACCATCAGAATTAGAACCTGCAGATGATGTATCAGTAGTTGCACAAATGGAAACCAAGATAGCTGAGCCACAGAAAGAAGAGCCTGTGGTGGCTGTCCAAGTACCATCAGAATTGCATGAAATACAACCCATGTTGTCTGGCCTTTCAACTCAAGTATCAGTAGCTGCACCACTGGAACCCAAGGTAGCTGAGCCACAGAAGGAAGAACTTGTGTCTGAAGTACCATCAGAATTGCATCAAGTACAACCCATGATGCCTGGCCCCTTAACCGAACAAGTATCGATAGTTGCACCCAAGATAGTTGAGCCACAGAAAGAGCCCATGACGCCTGGAGATTCAATCGAAGTAGGGTCAGAATTGCACAAAGTACAACCCATGATGCCTGTTCCTTTAACCCAAGTATTATTAGCAGTTGCACCAATGGAAGCCAATGTAGGCGAACCACAGAAAGAAGAACCATTAGAATTGCGCCAAGTACAACCTGATGAGCTTCATACAAGTGTACTTGAGGCAATAGAGACCAAACCCGAGGAATCTGTGACCACGGTGGAGGAAATAGAGACCAAAGCCGAAGAACCTGTTAACAGTGGTAATGTTATTGAGCAGCCAAAACTTGCAGAGGTTATGGAGGGTAATGTCGATGACGAGGAGCATGCAAAAGATGCTGAAAATGGCAACATAAATGAGGTCGGAGACCCGGAACTCCAAGTGGAAAATGCTGGTACAGTTGAGATGGAAGAAGGATGATTGATTATATGGTAGAGTAGAGATAGGTGTGTATTTTTAGGATAAGAGGATTTTGATGATCCTTTTCTTAGGCTTACATGGATGGGTTGTTTTGCGTTTACAATTATATCGTTGGTTTAGAATTAAAGTGAATGACGTTTTTAACTAAATAGAGTCGGTTTAATAATGTGTTTGTACAATGTTATGCTTGAGAAAATGCCAAAAAGAAACCTTTGTGGGGGACGTTACGTTATTCACTCAAAAAAATTGTTTGAATATGTATCATATCTGTAGTGATGTAACACGTTATTTATATAGGATCACCTTTATTTTAAGTGAACTATTCAATACAATGAAATAAATTTCGATTTTAATGTTTAGTTTTATTCTTTATCTCTACCAATATAATACGATTTTATATGGTACTGAGAAAACAGTAATGTTTTTATTTTTGAATTAAAATATAAATTTGAAGATAACATAAAAATTTGTAAAAAAAATAAGTCGCTAATAGTATCAAAGTAACTATTTAATAGTTCTCCTTTTTTACATAACTTTTTTGATTTAATTTTTTATTATAACTTAATTTAAATTTAATAACAAAGTAATTTATTTTTGGTTTGATAATATAATTTTTTATAAAAATAATAATTAAACATTCTGTTAGAACTCAATGATTATCTTAATTTTTAGATTTTTTATATTGAAAATAGATGTTTATCTTGTATTTGATTATGTTTATCAACAATTACTTACACGAATTTAAAAATGGAGCTTTAATAAGTTATACTTACGTAAAATTACTTGTAATCTTAAATTTTAAGTAATATGCATCAATAAATAGTACTTTATGCATAAAAAATGGTATTTGAGAGTTTTTGTCAAATACTTTATAATATAGTATAGATATGTTCTAGTAATTTTTTTCCTTTTTTATTTTCTCCTGATATTTTTTTTGAAAGGCAAAAATGAAGGACAAGGAAGAGAGCTTCGGCATGGTCATCACCCTCACCAAGCCAACCAATATATTAAAAAAACAGATTCAACAAGAAGCTAGACACAAAAAGATACAAGAATCCACCACAACAAGCGAGAACAAAAGGAAAACAAAACCAAAAACCGAAACCAAAGCCAGACAAAGAGACTAAACAAGGTAAGGAGAAGATGACTAACTATCCCAATTAAGAATAAGACCAAGACAAAACCCAAACCAAAGCCAGACAAAGAGACTAAACAAGGTAAGGAGAAGAGGATCAACTATCACAATTAAGAATGAACTTACGATTCCTATTCTCCATCCAAAGCTTGGATAAATTTTGAACCCAAGGAAATGGGTCTTCACCTTTCTTCTTAATTTTCGCATCATCTTCAGCATGAAAATTTTTATTCCGCCACTTCCAAAGTTGCCAAAGAGCCACAACGCAAATAGATAAGAAAGTCACTCCAACCTTGCAATGAGTGCCTACTTGATTGATTAGCATTTTAAAATCAGACACCGAAGATAGACACGAGGATTTAAGGTCCCACCAAGCCCATATTTTTCTCCAAAGAATGCTTAGCACCGAACAAGAAAAGAAACAATGATCCATTGTTTCAACACCTTTGCCACATAGGATGCACTCCAATGATTGTAACGGAATTCCTCTTTTTGAAAGATTAAATCTTACCGGGATAGCCTCTTTAAGAAAACGCCAAGTGAAAATATTTACCTTCTTTGGAATTAAAGAACTCCAAAAACACGGTTCATTGCTCCCAACGCTTGTATTGACCGCTCCTTGAATTAATTTGGACAAGAAGTTGACCAGAAAACCCTTTTCTTGTTCCAATTCCAAGATCACATATCCTCACCTGAAGTATTGAAAACCGCTTGAGAGAGATGCCTTTTTAAGGCTTGAAGATCATCTAAGCTTCTACCCCTAATCGTTGTTTTCCAATCCCAAGCACCACTCCAAGAACCATTAAATAAGTCCATCTTTCTTTGAAAGAAGCATTTTTATTCCTTTCCATAACATAAAGTCTAGGATATAGGTCTTTCAGCTTTGACCCTTGATCGATGCTCGCATCTTTCCAAAAAAAAGAAGAAGAATCTTTAGCAACCTTTTTCGAAAAACGATTGAATAACATTCTGACCTGTAACTTCCACCTTTTTGCACGTGTTGACAATAGAAACCTAAACACTATTTTCTCCTGATATTTAATCTTATAATTTAAATCTCTCATAATGTATAGGGGTTTAATTATTTAAAATTTTCAAAATTTATGAAATCCATCCTAAATCAATATTTTAAATATATTAATGTTATTAATCAATAAGATAATAATAATTATTTATTAAATGAAATTAATTATTTTTGTAGGAAATTCCATAAATTCTCTTTTCTCTCTCCTCTCTTTTCTTTGTTACATACACACAATTAAGTATTCACACATTGTAAAAACAATGCAAACAAATATTTTTTTACTAAGGTGTTCATAAATGTTAGATTTAGATTTATTAATTTGATTGGTGTTCATAATATGTTCAAAATTATATTAGATCTTCAGATTTCCAGTGTGTCAATAAACTATTTCTAAGAAAAATATTCACAATGTATTGACCTGCATATTCAATTATATGTACAAACTCAACTATTAGTACAAATATAAGAACCAATTAATTGAGATATAAATAAAAATTATGAGAGTTTATTTATTATGATTTGGATATTTATTGGAAGATTATCAAAGTTCATTTGTTGACCCTTGACTTTCCTAAGAAATAGGGTCTGGTCAATCTTTCGATGACAAACTTCTTAGAGATGAGAAATGAAGAAAGGATGTCATACCAGGCACGAGGGACCTGTTTTAACCCATAAAGAACTTTATCCAATCTATAGACATGATTTGGATATTTGGGGTCAAGAAACCCTGGAGGTTGTTCAACATAAACTTCCTCCTGAAGTTTCCCATTCAAAAAAGCGTTAGAAAGAGTCGAATAGCTTCGAGTCTAGATAATGGTGCAAAGGTTTTGTCATAATCGATTTCTTCTTCTTGCCTGTATCCTTGAGCAACAAGACGAGCCTTGTTTCGGGTTATATTTCCTTGTTCATATAACTTATTGCGATAAACCACTTGGTGCCTGTTGATCCTCTCTCTCAGTGATTTGATGATAATCCCTTTTCACTTATACATTGTATTTATGTTTCTGTCTTTTCAGTTCCAGTGATCATCACTGAACTTGTTCAGTGATCGCTGAAGAACTTGTATTGTAATTCAATCAGAGACAATAATTTTTCAAGAAGACAACACTCACACCAAAGAACCTTTAGCTGATGTCGAAGACTGAAACTGAAGATTAGAGACTGGTGAGTACGTGATCTGAATCGGTACTCAGTGATTACAAGTCTGTCTACACATGTGTGAAGACTGCTCAAGCCTTAGCGAATGCTGAAGAGACCTCCAAACAGTCTTACCTTATCTTTTTGCAAGCAGTCTTGTAAAATTTGTATTGATCTTCTCTATCAATATACATTTTAAATTTAAAAATGTTGTGTTTGTACTCATCCCCCCTCTACAAATTGTTTTACTTATCTTGTAGACCCTCAAGGGACCAACAAGTGGTATCAGAGCAGTGTTCTATCTTTTCTAAGTTGTTTATCTATTTTTCTGCATTAGTTTATTTATTTCTCTAGATAACTTTACATCTTTTAAATGGCTTTGCAAATTACAAACACACACACAAAAGACAATGGCTCTCTTGCCAAACCTCCCTGGTTCGTCCGTGACAACTTTAGTCTATGGAAAAACCGGATGTCCCTCTTTCTTGAAGGTGTGGATCATGAAATTCCACATTACATAGTAAATGGACCATATGTACCATTTGCTATTTCTCCGGCTGTTCCAGCAACAGCTACGACTGCCGCGATTCCTGAACGGCAGATTCCAAAGCTCCCTCATCAGTGGAGTGATGAAGACAAGAAGAAAATAGCTATAGACACTCGCGCTAGGTCTATAATAGCTATGTTTCTTCCTGACGAGATTTATCATTCTGTGATGAAGCTCAAGACTTCTAAATCCATGTGGGACACACTTTGTGTTCAATATGAAGGAACCACTTAGGTTCAAGAAACTAGAAAGATCAATTTAGTAAGACAGTACGAAAGCTTTCTCTGTGGAAAGACTGAAACACTTAATCAATGTTTTAATTGTCTCCTTATTGATCTAAGGGCTGTAGGCAGGGAATATTCCAATTCTGAAACTTTAACTAAGTTTCTGGAATGTCTTCCTGAGTCTTGGGAC